TCTCTCTTCTCTCTCTCTCTCTCTCTCTCTCCTCTCTCTGTCTCTCTCTCTCTCTCTGTCTGTCTCGTTCTCTCTCTCTCTGTCTCTCTCTCTCTCTCTCTGTCTCGTTCTCTCTCTCTCTCTCTCTCTCTCTCTGTCTTTCTCTCTCTCTCCCTCTGTCTCTCTCCTCTCTCTCTCTCTGTCTCTCTCTCTCTCTCTGTCTCTCTCCTCTCTCTCTCTCTCCCTCGCTCTCTCTCTCTCTCTCTCCTCTCTGTCTCTCTCTCTCTCTCTCTCTCTCTGTCTCTCCCCTCTCTCTCTGTCTCTCTCTCTGTCTCTCTCTCTCTCCCTCGCTCTCCTCTCTCTGTCTTTCTCTCTCTCTCTCTCTCCCTCTCTCTGTATCTCTCTCTCTCTCTCTCTCTGTCTCTCTCTCTCTGTCTGTCTCTCTCTCTCTCTCTCTCTCTCTCTCTCTCTGTCTCTGTCTGTCTCGTTCTCTCTCTCTCTCTCTCTCTCTCTCTCTCTCTCTCTGTCTTTCTCTCTCTCTCTCCCTCTGTATCTCTCTCTCTCTCTCTCTCTCTGTCTCTCTCTGTCTCTCTCTCTCTCTCTCTGTCTCTCTCTCTCTTACCTCGATCATCTCTGCAGGTTCGTCTGGTTCAGTGGTGGAGTTCACAGTTTTCTTCCACCTGGGTTAAATCATAAAACAATAAATTCCCAGTTTAACATGATGGGAGTCATAAAACAACAGAATGAATGTTGATGGTTTACCTCAGCCACAGAGTCAGGGGAATCAGAGGACTCAACAAGAGGAGCAGCAGAGTCCACCTGGTGATGATTTTTAGTGAGTTCCCTAAGAATGAAAGAGCGATATGTGAGACACTTCACTGGAAGGATTAGACAGAAAAATCACTTTTCCTCTTTGTTATACCCTCTGTTCATCATTCAGTCAGTCTGACACCATGGAGGAGGAAATGATTAAGACATTTTCACATCTGCACTGCTTAAAGTTTCTAGATCATTTCAGGAAGATTGCTCCTGATATCCTCCTGAACACTTCAGGAGGTTTTCAGTTTTGTGTAAAGTGTGGAAGCACTTTAAGAGTTGGTGGTTTGGGTGATTGTTCAGTTGGTAGGTCGGTAGAATGGACTGTAAATATGAATGTTTGAAGCCTGAGTGACGTCCCCCCTCTGTTCCTGCAGGGGGCGCTGGAAGTCCCATCGATGGCGGTTCTCCATGCTGGAAATGCTGTCTCAGTCTAACTTTCAGTCAACCTAACGACCGGCTGAGAGCTGAGCTGAGGCGGGTTTTAAACCTCCTGACAAACCGTTACACCGCGCCCACCTGTCAATCAGGTCAGCTACACGCCTTATTGTGAATAACTCTTATCCTTCATCAAATCAAAACTGATGAGTCATCAAAACATTCACCCCCCCGTACAGTGTGTGTCCATCGAGACATGAGCTAATCACACCTATTTTTTTTTGAACCAGGCTGTAAACATGTTCATCTCTGCTGTAAAAACAGGCTTTTTAGAATGGGGTGTATGTGACTTCCTGTTCTTCTGTAGCAGCCTCTAGTGGACAGTCGAGGAACTGCAGGATTTAACACTTCAGCTTGGTTGGTAGTAGCAGTAGCTTCATCTCACTCTATTTAATGATGAGTGTTTGACTCACATGTTAGGTTGACAGAGATGCGTTTGGAGGTCGTTCTCCCCAGCGTGTTCTCAGCTTCACAGTAAAACTCCCCAAAGTCAGAGGACTCGATGGAGCTGAAGACAAGCGTAGCTCCTGGATATGTGTGATTAGGGTTTAGAGGTCCATCCGCCTTGTACCAGGTGTAATTAGCTGCTGGGTTAGCATCACTGCTACAGGTCAGATTGACTGAAGTGCCCTCCACTATCTCATCGTGGGAACTCACTGACACAGAAGGAGGCTTTGGAGCATCTGGAGGAGAATCAGAGAGACCTCACATCAGATGAAGGTGGACGTGTTATATTGAACAGCTTTGGTTCTGAAACTGACGATCATACCTGCTGAATAAAAGTTTTTTATATTTGCAGAAAAATGTAACAGTGAGACA